ACTTCCTCTTTCAGGGCCTCAGTTTCCTCAATTATACAATAAAGGGGCTAGACTAGATGAATCCCTAAATTCCTACCTCGTAAGTTTTTTTTCAGTCACGAATAATCCATTCATGGATAATTGAGCATTTGACTGCATGTCCACACTGTGCTGGATGGGTCCCTTCTACTTAGCTAAATTTTGGGGCTTTGGTTTCTTCTCCTATAAAATGAGGGGGTTAAATTCTAAAGTCTTCAAGTCCTATCTGTCTTCTTGCTGGTGGATTTTATTAGTTTATAAATGAGTATCTGTGAATGTGGGCTTAACTAGATCCTAGGTAAATAACGTTTGCGTTCCTTGTCCCGCCTTTGTTCTCCTTCATTAATTCAAGTTATGTCCTAAGAAAGCTCTCAGGACATGTGATGTTTCCACCAGCAATTGTTAACCTGATTACGATCATTTAAAGGGCTCAAATACTCAGAAAAGGGAGGAATGTGCTGCTTCCTAAGACTAAAGTATTGATTCCTCAGATGTCAATGCATTGGAAGAAAAATAATTAGCAGATCCCCGAACAGAACTGCTGGGGAATAAATCAAAAATAGATGAAAACTCCGAGAGCCAAAAGTTGCCTTACAGCAACATGGAAAAACACTCAGTCTAGCCGAGTAAATAAATAATAAAAGGGTATGGAAACAATACACCCTGAAAACCCTTGTACCTTCTCTACTCTCCTGACCAGAGCAGTGCTGACAGGTTTGTGCTGCCTAGGTTACAAGAACAGCTAGCGTTTATTTATCTAATAACACTAAAGCACTTTTCAGACAATCTTGTAGTCCTTTTCAAAAAACTGAAGCTGGGTATGGGCACTTTCTTTCAATACTCTATTCCTTATAAGCGTCCTCTACATTATTTATTTCCACTGTGTGGGCAGGGGTGGCTGGCAGGTTAACCACCCTTTGGCTATACTACTGTTGAGCTTGAACTGACTGTTTGGAGTAGTCAAAACAGATCACGCCTATCTTATGGAAGCAATGACGTCCAAGGGAAAAAGTGCCAGATTGATAGACTGGAGACCTGGGTTTGAATCCTGCTAGTGTTCACTAGCTATATTACTTTAGAAAGTTACTTAACAAATCTGGGCCAGCTTTCTCACCTGTAATAGCGAGGGGTGAAGAGGTTGGGGGGGCCGCAAGAGGCGGGGTGCTGTTGGCCTAGGTGATCTTTAGGGCTCTTTCTAACTCAAATCTTAATTTTCTTCTTTGATCACGGTTGACACAGTATCTACTAATGTTTCTATTTTGGCCAGAAACCCTGAGGGTCTTCCCCTTCCAGACTGATTTTTTTTTTTTTTGACCAGATGAAAGAGGCCATTCTTTGCCTCATTTTCACCTAGCCTTAATCACTGGATGGGCATTGCTTCAGACAAACTCAGACCTGGGAAAGACCTTAGTTTAAAAAGGCCAAGGCCTCCCACTGCATCGAGGCCATCTCCAGTCATCCTGATGAATATCTTGTCACTGGACCCAGATGGTTCTGGTGGAGAAAGTGAGGCCGATGACTTTGCACAGCCCTGCCTGACTTCCTGACTTAAATCCAATTCACTTGCAAGTCATGACATCTCCTTCCTGATGTCATGGTTCTCTTCAAGAATGAAGGGCAAACAACTACTCATATTGAAAATTAAGACATGTCAGTTTATTTTCTTTTGGATCTCACTGCTTCCATAAATCAGGAATGATTTATATTGACTGCCACAAAAAGCCAGTTCTAGCTGCTACCTTATTATAGCCAGATGATTAACATGCCAATTGTACTCATTTTTATATATTTTCTTCTCATGAATTTTTTGACCTTGAATGTAAGGTATGATGGAAAGAGCAAAAGAGACCTTAGAGATAATAATAATTAGTGACATGTGCATAATGTTTTAAGTATATTATCTCATATGATCCTCACAATAAACCTGAGAGGAAAGTTCTAAAGTAGGCATTATATCATATTACAAATGGGGAAACTGAGGCTGAGAAAAGTAGAGTAACTGTCCATGGCTAATTGGTATATAAGTGATGATTTGAACCCAGTTCTTGATGCCATGTTCCACATTTTATCCTCTATGCCACGCTGTCTTCTCTTTTCGATTTCTGAGATCACAGTTTGTTGGAGAGGGTGGGGGCAGAGCAAGAACCAAAATCCAAGTGTCCAGACTCCGTAAGTCCTATTTTCCTTACGCTGCATTATAGATGAAGGCTGCTGCTTTTTGGTGAACTAGCGTCTTATACAGGACTCTGTCATCTAGTCCTGACTCTGCTGTCAGCAACTCATTGTGTGACCTTGCAAGCCACCTACCTCCCCGGGTCCCAATTTTCTTACTTTAAAATCAAGGAGATTAATTAGCCAGCTCTCTTTAGCTCCTTCAAGCTCTTAATCTGTGATTATAATTATATTATATGGTGTGTACACACACATGCTCACATACCTCTATCTAGATAGGTTTTATTAATACAATTGCATAGCATCACAAGCAAGCTAGATGGCAAACACACACAGAAGAAACTTTATAGTAGGATGGAGACAACAAAATACTCCACTGGTACATTGAACATACTACCCAGAATTGTAGCGAATTTATATATACATATATATATGGGGGGAGCCTACAGGGTGAGTTGAATATGAAGGGATTACATGTAAAAAATAAAATTAAGGGGTGAGAGAGAATTGTACTGGCAGAAAGGAAGACATAGAATGAGGTAAATTATCTCACATAAATGAGTCAAGAAAAAGCTTTTACAGTAGAGGTGAAGACAGGGGAGGTGAGAGGGAAAGAATGAGTCTTACTCTCATTGGATTTGGCTTAAGGAGGGAATAACATACACACTCAATTGGATATGGAAATTCATTTTGCCCTACAGGAAAATAGGGGGAAAGGGGATGGGAGGGGATGATAGAAGGGAGGGCAGGTTGGGGGAAGGGGTAATCAGAAGCAAACACTTTTGAGGAGGGACAGGGTCAAAGGAGAGAATAGAATAAATTGGAGAACAGGGTAGGATGGAAGGAATTATAGTTAGTATTATACAACATTACTATTATGGAAGTGTTTTGCATGACTACACATGTATAAGCTATATCGAATTGCTTGCCTTCTCAATGAGCGGGAATGAGGAAAGCAGAGAGTTTAGAACTCAAAGTTTTAAAAATGAATGTTAAAAACTGTTTTTACATGCAACTGGAAAATAAGATATACAGGCAATGGGGTATAGAAATCTATCCTGCCCTACAGGAAAATAGAAGGGGAAGGGGATAAAAGAACAGGGGGAGGGATGATAGAAGGGAGGGCAGATTGAGGGAAGGGGTATTCAGAATGCACACTGTTTTGGGGTGGGGAAAGGGGAGAGATGAGAAAATTTGGAACTCAAAATCTTGTGGAAGTGAATGTTGAAAACTAAAAATAAATAAATTACTAAAAAAATTATTAAAAAAAAAAGAATTTTAGCCAATTGCTACAGCAGTACCTAATTATTAGAACATCTTAAGGTAACATTAGTACTTCCTATCAACTATTGGGCAGTGTAATATAGTTAAAAAAAGAAAAAGAGCACAGAGATGACATCAAACCACCTCAGTCTGAATCTCAGTTCTGTTACTTTAAATGAATAGATGGATAGATGATTGGACCAATGAATGAATGAATAATATTTATTAAGCACTTACTATTGCATGATCTCATCTGTAAAATGAGTAAAAGATCATTTCTACAGTCCCATCCACCCACAAATAAATAGAAGGTCTTCCAGAGCAAAGACTTTCATTTTTGTCTCTGTATCCCCAGCAGTGTGACATAGTGGATCACAAACCAGCCTCTAAGCCAGGAAGACCTGGGTCTCCTATATACTAGTTGTGTGACTGGACAAGTGACTCAACCTCTGAGTGTTCTAGATGACTCCGAGTTGCAGAGGTGTCAACCTGAATTGATAGGTGGAGTTTCCTCACCAGAATCTCTCCATACTAATGACATAGCCCTATCCCCAGCACCTAGCACAGTGACTCAAACATAAAATGTACTTAATGTTTGCTTAATTGAGTTTAATTCTAGCTTTAAATCCTATGAACTGTTCTAGGCTATCATTCTGCCCCTCCCCAAATTATGGAAAATGCTGATCATTTTTCCCTTAGAATTTCCCAAAGCAAGTACCCTGATCTTATCACCTCACCTTCACAATACTTCACTAACCAGACCAAAAGCTAAATAGAATCACCCAATTTTACAGATAAGCAAAATGCAAAACATTTATTCACTCAATCATTCATTTAATAAACAATTAACAAGTGCCTTCTCTTTGCAAAGCAATTTTTTCCAGGTTTCATAAATTGTAAAATCCCTCAAGATTAGAGCTGTTATATATAGTATCCCACATACTGCAAACAGGTACATATTACTTACTACCATTGTTACAAATAACAATGCTATTAGGCAATTGGTAGGGAGGTAGAGAGATTTCCCAATGCCTATCATATAACTGCAACCATAAGTACCAATCATTTTTCAACTATGTTCCCTGGAACCCCAAGATTTTCACATTTCAAAGCTACATCCACTGTCCTCCCTCTTAGACTGTTGCTCCACACAGCATTTGGTAGTCAGAATTGTGTCCTAAAACAAATGCAGGGCGTTTCATCACCTCAAAAAGTAGGAAAACTACAGCTCTAAACAATGCTCAGGGCTATTTCTAGAAGGAAAGAAAACTTCTTGATTCCCAGAGCTTAATGCTAAGAGTCCTACTTTTATTTCAAGATAATTGCCTTGAAAATTATGGTCTTCTTTAGGCACACATTATCTAAGCAAATGAGTTACCAGGATGACCCTGCAGCCCTTAGAAAAAGGTTAAGTCTCCTCTGTCCACTATGCTGGTATACTACCACCAGGTTTAGACAGGTATAGGTTCAGTTAATACAAGAACATTGTGTCTTCTAAAAACAATGTCAGATTCTCACTTGTATGTAGTAAATAAGGACTATTTTACCTTTCAGCGAAGCTATCAAGTTTCCCCAGCTCATCTGAGAGACCAACAAGAGAATCCAAGGTCCCCACCTGTAAAGAGTATAAATAAATTAAATGTACAAAAGATTTACGGGAAAGATGCTTTGTGATTTTTAGAGCCATTCATTGTTAGATAAATTAATCCAGAGTCTAGAAACTTGATTAGAAATCTTTAATAATAGAAACTTGGGACTTTAGGTTCTCCCCACTGTCATATTTTTCCCATAGGAAAGACTGCATGTTATCTTGTGGTAGGTCCTATTTCTCATTTTCTTCACTGAATAGAAAAATGCAATTTTGCAATTTGTTTGATTTCAGCAAGAGATATCGGTGGAAGCAAACTTGAAAACTTAGTAGAATGTCAACTCCTTGCAGGGACTATTTCTATTTTTGTCTTTGTACAGTCAGAAACTAGCATAGTCCTGTATACACAGTAGACACTTATTGTTTATTAAATTAACAATCAAATTGAGAACTTAAATTTTAAAAAGCATTTCTATCTCTAGTGATTTTAACTAGCACCTTCTTGAATTTTCTTGGCTGTTACAAATAAAGGATCTGGCTTGGGTGGGGCACCTTTAGGGTCATCCTGGGGGCAGCCACACTCTTAACATATTCTGAAAGTTTACAAACATTCCTTCAGCTCACCAAAGGCATTAAAGAAGGAATAAAAGTATGTACAACAATGCCCAATTATCTCTGATAAAATGATGTAATAAGGCTTCTCTTCCCCAAGGGTCTTCCCTCCCCACTCCCCCACCTATTTCTATTTAAAAAGACTTGAACTCAGGGCTTCTTCTACTTGTGTGACCTCAGGCAAATCACTTAGCATCTCAGGCTCCTGGTGTCCAAGTCTACAAAATGGAGGAACATTGGACTATGGACCTCCAAGGTCTTAAATCTATGCTGTTCTCTGAGCCTCAATTTCTTCGTCTATTAAATGAGATTAATAGTATATGAAGGGATTTCCTGTGTTTGTCTCTATTTTTGAAATAAAGGAAGATTGAGCTCCGGCAGAAGTTAGAACAAGGGTGCTTTATCTAGGGTCCTGGAACTTTTTCAAATGTTGAAAAAAATGTAGTTCAATATAATTAAGTCTCCTTTATAATTCTATATATTTTATTTTATGCAGTAAAACTGTATTCCAAGGCACCCATAAGCTTCACTGGACTACCAAAGCGATCCATGATATACAAATAAAAAACTGAAGAACCCCTGATCTAAGAGCAGTTGGTGTACACATCATTATTTTAAACATCTAAATCATTACTTCTACAACTCTTTCCTCTTCCCCTACCTGCTAGTGGCCTGCCTCTCAAAAGTAAATTATACTTATTTTGTATGTAATGTACATATACACGTGTATGTGTGTACATGTAAGCTCACGTAGCAAATGCTTAACGTTTATTGATTGATTGAGCAAAGAACTTTCTTCCTTTTCTCTTTATATTTCACAGTGCCTAGAGCCTGTGTTAGGCACTTAATTAAAGTTTGCTTGACTGATTCCAGATGTTCACTTACTACTTCTTAAGCATCCATAGCTCCCATTTCTATGGTGTTTTTTAAAGGTTTGTAGAACACTTTTCTGACAACAAAATCCTATGAGGTAAGGAGCATAATCATATTAAATGTGGATTACCCTGTCCCCAGTAGTCTGCCTTATAAGGCAGTTTGACAAATAGACCTACTTTCAAGATAAAATCACTGTGCTAATATATATTGATCTCCTTAAGGTTTACTTCAGCAATGTGATAGAGTGGAAAGGGTGCTATACTTCCAGTTTGGAAGGAACTGGGTTCAAGTTCAGGCTTTGACATTCATTAGCTGTGTAACACTAGGCAAGTCAGTACCTTCCTAAGCCTCAGTTTCTTCTTCTGAATATAATGAAGATATTAAGGGCTACTCTATTGGCTAAAGCTTTGTAAACCTTAATAGCACTATATAAACGGGAGTTTTTGTTTATTTCCCACTGCAAGTGACTCCAATCTCTCAGTTCTCACTTTCATCTTGTGAAGGGATGTATGCACCTAGTTGATGTAAGAAGTTACTCAAGGAGGTAGGGGAATTAATTGATTTTGTAAAATTATTTCTGCCAGGCCAGGGTGACACACACTTCCGTACCACTGGAGAGAATGAGGCTGGTGCATCACTTGAGCTCTGGAGTTCTGAGCTAGGATAGGGCTAAAGCCATTCAGGGTCTCTGCTAAGTCAGACACTAGTATGGTGAACCCCAAAGGCACAAGGGCCCCAAGTTGCCCAAGGAGGCCAGGTCAGAAACAGTACAGGTCAAAGCTTCAGAGCTGATCAGTAGTGGGCCTGTGAGTGGCCTCTGTACTTAAAGCCTGGTGTGCTAGGGAGAGATCTGGTCTCAAAAAAAAAAGTCTTATGCAACTAAGCATTGTGAATTCAAGAATGTTTTCCTTTTCATACTGAATAAAGGGTATGGGAACATTTACTTAATGCCAAGGCATATGGGAACCAAAAAGTGATCTTGGGCATGAACACTGAATTTCTTTTCCTTCATACCTTCCCTAAAGTGGGTCAAAAGTACACTTAAGGCTGGAGACAAACAAGGCAAATTCCAAACTATAGCATGTTATTAGTCTTTACCAGAAGGAATTAGAATGGGAATTTAAGATCAAACCAGGAGTTTAACTCTGACAGTCAATCAGCAGACTTTCCTAGAAAACTTTCAACAGGGAAGAAACAAGTTTTGGAGCTAGCTAGTTCTACCTTTAATGGGACCCGCCCACAACTGGGAGATAGTGCTCTCTCCTTATCCAAAAGTTTGTTAGCTATTCTGCAGAAAGTCTCTCTGATCCTTCTGTTATCCATCCTTTCCCATGATACCACAATTAATCTGAAGACTGACTCCTCATCTTCCAAGTTCTGTAAAATCAGACATTTCTATCACACACCATTGGCATATGTGACGTAGGAGAAAATTTGCTGATTCTGGGTTAAAATCTTGCCTCTGATGCACACTACCTGTGTAACCCTTTCATTTAAACTCATTGGACCTTTGTTTACTCATCTACAAAATGAGGAGGTTAGTCGATGGCCTCTGAGACCCACTCCAGTTCAAGATCTAGAATCCTACGGCCATCTGCTCTTGATGACCATTTCTATCTTCCATTTTTCCAAAGGACCATCCATAATAGATGGCCTTCACAGTACCATCTCACTTTTTATAGGATCATAGGTTTAGAGTGGGAAGGGACCATAAAGTCATCTAGTCTAACCCTCTCATTTTACTCTCGAGGAAACTAAGGCAGTTACGTTAAGTGACTTGCCTAAATCCTAACTCAGATCCTTACAGTATAATATAGCACTCTTTCCACAAAATCAAATTAACTCTCTTCTTCCAGGGTACTAAAATGAGGAGCAGCCTTTCCCCTCCCTCTCCTTAATTATTGCTTTTTTCTTTCCTCTCTCCCACCCCTCCCCAGATCTTCTAATTTCTAGGACTTTACCTTGAAGTCCGGAATGGCAAATTTGGTGTTGTGGGACAGATTAGACTTGGAGGTTACTGTGTTCATCCGTTCCAGAGCCTGCAAATTCTCCTTATCTCCAGGGGCAGAAATTAACCAAAATTCTGACGACATGTTTGAAGTCTTCCCTTTTAGTCAAGGTTACTGAGCAAACATACAAAACAGAAAATCAACATATAAAAGAAAAAAGTGTAAGGACCTTCCTACCTGCTTTTTTTTCTTCCTAGTACCAGATCTATGGGATTAAGGGGATTAGACCTGTCACAGGTAGATATGGTATAGTGCATGGAGAAATACCCTTAGATTGGATTTGGATTCAAATCTTTGGAGTCAGCCAAGGTTAGAATCATTGTGATGACTTCAGGTAAGTCACTTTCTCTCTGGCCCTAGGTCCCACCACTGTAAAATGATGGAGTTGGACTATAGTTTAGTATAGACTTTGATAAACTGAAAAGAGTCCAAAGGAGGACAACCAGGATGGTGAAAGGCTGTGAGTTTAAAGTCATATGCTTATTGGTTGAAGGAAATGGGGAAACTTAGCTCAGAGAATAGGACTCAGAAGGACAAAAAAACAAATAATTGAAACCTTTAGCACAGTGCCTGGGACATTGCAGGCACTTAATAAATATTTATTAATTGATTTACTGATTGATGAGGAAGGTGGGTTAAACTTGTTCTGTTTGGCCCCAGAGGGCAGAACCAGGAACAATGGATGGAAGTTGTAAAGAGGCAAATTCAGGCTTGCAATAAGGAAAAATTAAAACTTCTCAAGAGTATAATCAGCTGTCTCAAGAGATGACTGGTTCTGAAAGGTCTTCAAGCAGAAGCTAGATGACAACTTTTCAGGAATGCTGTAGTAGATACTGCACTTTGGTATGGATTGAACTAGATGGCCACTGAGGTCCCTTTCACCTCTAAAATTTTGTGCCTCCTTTCCACTTTAAATTCTATGGTTCTAAAGCAGTCTTAAAGATGGGAAGTACCTAGTCGCAAAAGCTATGAGAACTGGACTAGTCAGAAGTTTGGCGTCCTGAATGTGAAAGGCTTTAGCAGTGTCTTCTTTCTCAGGGTTGTTCCAACTAGTTCCTGGGGAGGAGGAGGTAGAGGTGGTGGTAGAGGTGGAAGAGCAGAAGGAGGTTTTCCATTTCCTTTCCCTCCACCCCATTCCAGTGACAAATGCCCATATGACCTCATAAAAACCTGTAATAATCAGGAGGCCTAGCTTGGGAACTTGATGTTCCTTTAACATGATATCCACCTTTTTAATGGATTGCATCTGCTTCCTGAAAAACTGATTTTGGGGGAGAAGGGGAGTAATAGAGATGAGATTTCCCTCCATTGGGAAAGAAAAACCTTAGTGGCATAATTATTAGATTTGGAGTCAAAAAGCCTGGGTTTGAATTCTGGCTCTAACATTTAGTGATTGTTTTTTGTTTTGTTTTGTTGTTTTGTCTTGTTTTGGTTTGTTTTTACTTTGAACAAGTCATTTCCCCTCTGTGCTTCAGTCTCCTTGTTTCTAAAGTTAAAGGAGTGGAATACATGATCTTTCTATTCATCCTTGCAGTTCTAACATCAATGATAACTACAGACCTACATAATTGAACATGCCTTTGTTAGTCTCTTCAGAAAAACCCTTAAAATCTGTTCTACAGAGGACCTCGGATGTCTTTGTTTTAGAGAAGTAGCTTATAGTCAGCCTGGCTTCTAACCCCAGGTACCTAGAAATTTCTGCCCAAGTGTCTTACCACTAAAACCTATTAGTTCTGCTCATTCAAACACAAATACACCCACACACATTACTTCTTTCCATTGTCTCCCCTCCCTCTAGGTGTTTATCTGGCTTTCCATCCTCTCAAGTACCTCCTCCTTTTAGATGACCAAGGTGAGAGTTAAAGAGGGCTCTGCTATGTGGATTAAAAAAAAACGCCCTGAATTTTCCTAAAATAAACTGATATCTAATGCTTTGAGGCAATTTTTAATCAACTAACCCCAATTGCCTTTTCATGTCTTCCTTGCAAAGAATTTGGGGATGGATTGCTCCTATTCTCAGGGGACTGAAGAGGTGCCACCTGCAAACTGAATTGCCTAGTGTTGATGTGACAACTCAAAAGATTGTCAGCTGGAAAGAAACTTAAGAGTTGCCTCATAGTTTCCTACGAGAGGCAGGGAGATGTAGTGGTCTTGTTTGGTAGACGGGGTTCCAGTTTGAACTCTGATACTTACCAGCCTTGAGACCTTCACCCCTGGGCTTAAATTTCCCTGCCTGTCAAAAACCGATGATACTGCCTGCGTTTACTGCCTCACAGGAGTGTAGTGAGAAAAGAGACTGGTAAACCTGAAAAAGCCGTAGAAATGTGAGCTACCTGGATCCTGGACTTCCCACTCAGAAATGACGGCGAACGAGTCCCTAGAGTAAAACTGAAGCCAATATAAACGTGGGTGGAAGTTTCCTTTCCTCCTTCTACCTGTTTCCAGATCGTGAATGGTCTGGGTTCTCCCGAGTCGCTGGCTCCCTTCTTCTCCCACCCTCTCTCGGCAACACTTTCCCAATTTTTTCCTGGCTCTTACCTGGAGTAGAATGAAGGGGGCTCGCATTCCAGGGTGCATGGGAAGGACGGGGAGCAGAGAGACTGGAGGCGGGAGGCGGACGCGAGCTCCGGTTCGGGACGATGCGTTCAATCCGCCTGGGCAGCCTTGGGGTGAGGGCACCTCCGGGCCTTCGGGGAGTCGCTTCGGGCACTGCTGGGGTGGGAGTGGGGCGTGCTAGGCTGCCTCCCGCAACTGGCTGCCGGGGTCGCTGGAGGGCAGGTGCTACCCTCTTTGCCCAGATCAGTCCCGGGTGCGCGCGAGCCCCGGCTCCCAGGCGGTTGAGGCTCCAGCTGCTCCCGCCGGCCCCGCCCCGACCGCCTGGCGTTTTATCCCCGAGCAGCAGCTCGGGAAGTGGCTCAACTGCTCCCACCTACCTGCGGATTTGCATACGGTACCAGGTCGCCTGGCGCAGGGCCCCTGCTGGCTCTCTCCGACTAACCTGGCCTCTCCCCCTTCCATCCTAAACTCCTAGGCTACCAGGGCATCATCAGAATAACAGCAGCTGGCATTTATATAGCTAGTGAGGATTTGCAAAGTGTCTTCCATACACTAGCTCATTTGAACTTCACAACTACTCTGTGAAATCCTAAAGATGTTATTGCCCCTTGTTTTACAAGTGAGGAAACTGAAGCTAAGAAAAGTTAAATGAATTATTCTAGGTCACACAGCTGTCTGAGGAAGGATCATTAGACCAATATGCGCTTGCGCTTGCGTTTGCGCGCGCACACACACACACACACACACACACACACACACACACACACACACACACACACACACACACACACACACACACACACACACACACACACACCCACACACACACACACACACACACACACACACACACACACACACACACACACACACTCCTACCAAATGATAACCATGGAATTTTGTTGTTGTTCAGTCGTGTCCCGCTCTTCGAGACACCTTTGGGGTTTTCTTGGCAAAGACATTGGAGTGGTTCGCCATTTCCTTCTCCAGCTCATTTTATAGATGAGGAAACTGAGGCAGTGTTAAGTGACCTGGCTAGGGTAACATAGCTAGGAAGTGTTTGCAGCTGGATTTGAATTCAGGTCTTCCTATTCCAAGCCCAGTGCTCTATCCACTGTGCCACCTAGCTGCCCTAATCATGGAATTTACATGGAACTTAAATGTTCTGTAAGAACCGAAGGGGAACTTAGAAGGTCATCCAGTCCAGCTCCTTCATTTCATAAATGAGGAAAAAACCTCAAAGGGACAGGTTTTGAACACAGGTCCAGAGACTCCAAAGGATTCTTTTTACTGAACAGGGGCCTACCCTGCCCCCAAAGCGCTTTGAAGGCATTATGTTTTTTTTTTAATTGTTAACTTTAATTTTTAGCATCAACTTCGTTTGTGAATATAGTCCTCCACTGTCCTATACACAGGAAGTCAACAAATCAACATGCATTTATTAAGCTCATTACTTGCCAGGTGCTGTGCTAAGCACTGGGCATACAAATAAAGGCAACAACAAAAACAAACAGATGCAAACAGATATATATATATATATATGTTAAACTGGCAGTAAACTCTTAGGAAAAGCTAGCTTGGCGGGTGGGGGTGGGACAAGAGTGAAGTTAGAGGGGGCTGGGTTATAGGAAAAATGCTTTTAGCCCTAGGTAGGATTTGACCTAAGCTTTGAAGGAAGCCAGGGAAGCCAGGAGGCAGAACCAAAAAGGTAAAACATTCCAAGCATAGCAAGCTGTCCCTTTAAATGAGAGAGAAAGGCAGAGACAGACAGAGGAGGGAAACAGAAACAGACAGACACAGACAGACAGAGACAGAGAGACAGAGAAAGTCAGCCCAGCAAAACTAACCATCAACAAAGCACTTTATATTAAGGGATCCTCACAACTGTGTGAGGTCACAGAGATTATTTCCCCCTATTTTGGAGGTGAGAAAACTAAAGCCTGGAGAAGTGTCCATCTTCACATGTGTAAGGGTCACATGTAGGATTCCAATCTAGAAGGTCTCTATTCCAAAAGTCCCATTGTGTCCTACTCAACACTAATGATGTCCCCCTAAATTCTGCTTGCATTATAGCTATTTTACAGTTTAATTCAGCTTAAATCAATACAACAACAATTATTTGACACCTGGTGTTCAAAGATTACTTGTGCTTACCCTTAGGGGAATTAGGAAGATGAGACAAAATACCGATAACTATAATTCACAATATAACTAGAACAACTGAGTTATTCATTCAGGAAACATTTACTAAGTACCTTGAGTGTGCAAAACACAGAAATCAATGCCAGGAGATTTGATTAAAGAATCATAGAATCTCAGAGTTAGAAGGGACCTCAAAGGTTACCTAGTCCATCTTCAACCTGACCAGGAATCCCTCTACATCTTCAGCAGGTGCTCATCCTTTCATAGCTAGAATAATTACAGTGAGAAGGAACTCAGTACCCCCTGAGGCATCACATTCCACTTTGTGACAGCTCTAATTATTAGAACATTTTTCCTTAGATCAAACCTAAATCTATCTTTTGGCACCTTTGCCCCATCACTTCCAGGTCTGCCTTCTGGAACCAAGAACAATAATCGTCTAATGCTTATGCTTGCCTGATCTTGGGCAAGGCACTTAAACTCCATGGGTTTCAGTTTCCTCATCTATAAAATGAGAGGCTTGGTCTAGATGACCTCAAAAGTCTCTTCCAAGTCTAGATCTATGATTCCATAATCCTAAATCTAATCATCCCCTTTCCAAATATTAATTCTTCAAAGTATTTGAAGATGGCTAATAATCTTCAATTTCTTTATCCAGTCCTCATATGATATTGATTCTAATCCCTTCACCATCCTGGTTACCCTCTGAACAACCTTCTCTGAAAGTCCACTTCTTTAGTTTATCGATATCCTTCCTAAAATGTGGCACCCAGAACTGAACACAGTAGTCTAGGTATGGTCTAATTAGGGCAGGGTACAATGAGACTGTCACCTCCTGTTTTCTGGACACTCTGTTTGACTAATACAGCTTAAGATGGCATTAGCTTTTTTGGCTACCATAATTCACTGCCAACTCATGTTGAATTTGCAGTTCACTAACAACCCCAGATCTTTTTTCACATGGATTGCTATTTAGCTATGCTTCCCCCAGATAAAATATTGTAGCTTACAAATATAGGCCTTTAATATAAACTCTTGTTCAGTTGGGTAGAATCTAGCTGTAAAACCAAGCATCATGTGAACTCTGAGATTTGTTGTTGTTCAGTCATTTTTCAGTCATATCTGACTCTTCATGACCTTATTGGAGGTTTTCTTGGCAGAGATACTGGAGTGGTTTGCCCTTTCCTTCTGCAGCTTATTTCACAGATGAAGAAACTGAGGCAAATAGGGTTAAGTAACTTGTCCAGGGTTACATAGCTTGTCAGTGTCTGAGGCTGGATTTGAATTCAGGAAGATGACTCTTCCTTCCTCTGGGCCTAACACTCTATCCAGGGATGGGAAACTTCAGCCTCAAGGCTACATGTGGCCCTCTAGGTCCTCAAGTGTGGCCCTTTGACTGAATCCAAACTTCACAGAGCAAATCCCTTTAATGAAAGGATTTGTTCTGTAAAACTTGGACTCGGTCAAAACGCTGCACCCTAGGACCTAGAAGGCCACATGTGACCTAGAGGCTACAGGTTCCCCACCCCATCCAATGTGCCAGCCAACTGCCCTAAACTCTGAGATAGAAGATCACTATTAATAGGGGAATCTGGGAAGATTTCCTGGGTAAGGTAGCACATGGGCTTTTAAGGATGGGTACTAACGGGGTGATAGCAAACCACTCAAGTATCTTTGCCAAGAAAACCCCACAAGGGGTCACAAAGAGTAGGACATGACTGAAACAACTATCAGGTGAAGATGGAAAAGGAGGACATTCCACACATAAGAAACAACTTAAGAGACTTGTAGAAGAAGGAAAAGGGAGCACAAAGACTAGTCCATTTTGGCTAGAGCATAGAGTGAGTGATAATATGCAATGTTTGGGAAAACAGGTAACATTAGGTTTTGGAGGTCCTTGAATGCCCTAAAAAGGAATTTGGCAGTCCTCATCCATTCAACTCTGTCTACAGAGAAGAAACTTGAGATGTGGGGAAAGGGAATTAGAGGTGGAAATACGTCACCTCTGCTTTTATTCTGGTTGTCTATTAAATATTACCTGGACCCATGGACAAGACAACTTCTCTGCCCATTATGAATACCACCTATATCTTCCAGTACAATAGGAAGAGCACCAGCTCTGGAATCAAACAGAAGACTGACCTCTGATACACACAAGACCTTGGGCAAGTTGTTTAACTGCCCTGGACTCCATTTCCTCTGATGGGATCTAGACCCCAGAAAGGAAAAACCCTGAAATTTCCCACTTGGCCAAATCTCTGGCATTTGCCTGAGGCTATAATCCCATCACCTGGCCTTTCATTGTGGCTACACTCAATCTCCCAATTGTGTTAATCTAGCCTGGCCTTATCCTAGGTAGGCTCCATTCTCCCTTGGCCACGAGGTCCGGGTCCCAGCAGTTCTGTTCACCCCAATTTATTGGCCACTCCTAGGTCCCTCCCACAGTCTTTCTGTATATAAGGTCCACCTTGTCTCCATTAAGATGCTCAGATTCTTATAATCTAGCCACTGCTCAGATTCCTAAAATCTAGCCACTGCTGGGATTCTTCTAATCTAGCCACTGCTCTGATTCTTAAAATCTAACCAATAGTTTACTAATGTTCAAACTCCTTAAGAGTCTGCCCAATATGATGGATGTTCTAATAAACCTTGTCTTTGGCTGAAAGAAGGCTTAGGTTGAATTCTTTCGGGCAAGACTCTCGTGTTGTGATTTTGGGGTTCCAGCACCCTTGATCCCCTAAACCGCAACACCTCCACCTGTTAAGTGGGAAGTTGAGCTAGAAACCCTCTGAGATTCCTTCCATAAAATCCTAGAATTCCCTCCAAAAGATTAATTTATGTTCTTGTCACAAGGAGAATTACACAGAATATAAAAGTTTCTGGTTCTCTGTCTCTCTGTCTGTCTCTGTCTCTCCCTCTCTTATTTTTTTTTTTCATTTAGGGCCTAGGAAGAGAGATAATAAACATAACATATAAGGGATGAGGGTAAAGAACTATCATATGGTTTTTCCATTTTATGGACTCCTTATTTGGACCATCAGCTGCAGAACATTCAAGCTAGGGAAATTCAGAAAGGCTTATCAAACCAAAGAGTTGATCACCTGATCAGGACTGTTTTTATATAAATATTC